TAGGCTATAGCTGGTCATGGCATTTATTGAGCATCTACTGTGTGCCAGGCATGGAAAAGGGTGCCATAGGGAAAGTCAAGATAAAGGAGCCTTGATTTCTGCTGCCAGGTTGGATATGATGTCCCACGGTATCATGGGACAGTAGTTGGTGCCAAGGAAGAGTGCCATGAGCTGGCAGACAGGAGCAGGTTCTGGGGTTTAATGGGTTGGGAGGACTTCCTGGAGAAGGTGAGTCTCTAGAGCGCCTGCGGGCCCATTTTGGGGGAAAGGCAATTGGGACAAAGACATGGAGTTTGGAGAGTCCTACAGCTTTTGGATACTGAGGTCACTGGGGTGGATGAAAAAGAGACTGAGACAAGAGAGCTTGGGAAAGCAGCTGGGCTCAGAGGGCTGGGCTCTTTCCTGTGGGCAGCAGGGAGAGTGATTGTAGTCACAGGATCTCTCTTTCTGGGCTCTAAGGCAGGCACATTTTCCCCCCAACATCCTTGGAAGAGCCTTTCTGGGAAGCTCACTAGATGGCTGGGGGATGTCAGCCTCACAGCCTTACAGAGCTACTTCTCTTCTTCTGGCATTTGTATCAAGACGGGCTGCTCACCTGCCTTTGGTCAGGAAAATGTTTAAAGCCTCCCGAGGCCTCCCTGGTCGATGCCTCTTTCCTGGCTCAGGAAGGATGAGAGATGCATGATGAGGTCTCTGAGCATCAGGCCCCTCAGGGCAGACTGTACATGTCAGGGCTTCGAGGTGTCTGGCAGTGCTTTGTTGGCCCTCACCTGTGAGCACTGGCCAAGAATGGACAAGTGGTGCAGCCTGGCCCCCACATGATGCCCTTGTGCCCACCTGCTGTCTGCTATGTATCTGCCTCGTCTCAGGATCCCCCAGGTTTCTGGTATCACTTTTCTTTGGCATCTATCCAGTCTCCTCAGCCTGACATGGGCGCCCCCATTTCCCAGGGCCAGCCCTGCTTCTGGTGGATGTGTTCTTTCCCAGCGGTTGGCCAAGATTGACTGAGGCGGGTTTTGTCTAGTCAAGAAATTTCTCAAAGTATTAATTCCACCCAAGTTTACGGTTCTTAGAAACCCTTTGTTTCCTAGTTAGCAGGGCATTTGTGGTCTTTTCTGGAGCATTAGTCAGAGCTGCTGCAGTAGCATAACCATACATCTTCCTCAGGCTTTTACTGCCCGGAGCTGATGGAGCAAATGGCTGTGAGCTGTTTCTAGTCTTGCTGCTGGAGCACATGGAGGAAACACACTTGAGGAGACACTGGGAACTTGTTTTCTTGTAACTGAAGAGCTCTTTTAGGCTGGCCTGGAAATCCTGGGACTGTCTAAGGGATCTGAGCTGAGTCAGACCTAAACAAGGAGGACTCAGAACACAGAGTCTGTTCTTACACTGAGTGAGGACAGGCAGCCTGTCTGTCACTGAGCCAGGTCTCTTTCCCTCTGTGTCGCCAGCTGTCATTCCTTTACAGTTGATCCTGCAAATCCCACCCTGGAAGTGGAAGGTTCTGGAGCTTAGAGGGACGCAGTTTAATAAGCAGTTGGCTGGCAGATGCACATCCCCCTAAGGATTCAGAGGGAAGGCTGGCGTGGCCCAGATGCATAGACATGAAACATTCCGGTAATTAACAATAACAATCAAATATTTATAATCTTGCCACAAATATTAATTAGTATGAGCAGGTTTTGTGTGGGCAGATTTTTAAAAGAACATTCTGAAAAAAAGAACAAGGCCAGCCTATAGCCTGCTTGCTCGTGCCAGTCTTCTTTCCTGTTGGCCTTCAAGCAGCTCCCTAAAGAAATCAGCTCTCGGCTCCTGAGACTCAAGGCTAGATGCCTAGACTGTGGACAGTCCCTGGAGGTTCCATCCAGGGTGCCTGTTTCTCTGGTAGGCCCTCTCCACCCAGTCCCATAGGATGTTTAGGCTAAGTCTGGCTGTCCTTCATCAAAGAGGCTTTCCATCTGTCTCTTGCTCTGCCTTAGAACCAGGAGGCCTAGAACCCCCTCCTCACCCCAAAGCCCCTCCACAGAACAAGAGCCAGCACTGCCTGACTCTGACTTCTCCCATCTGGCCTTTCTTTATTAGGCAAGGCAGGAGAATAGAATGCCTCTGCTACCAGGCTTGGCAGCCTCTGTCTACAGAGGATAGGCATACCCAGCTGGTCCTCTGAGGGCTCAGCACAAGCCGTTAGCACACAAAGTTGCATGTCAGTCCCTTTGAACCCAGGACCACAGGATCCCAAAGACAACTTCAGTTGTACCATAAAAGTCTGTAAAATCTAATCTTTAGTCAACAAATTTTTTTTTTGAGACGGAGTTTCGCTCTTGTTACGCAGGCTGGAGTGCAATGGTGTGATCTCGGCTCACCGCAACCTCTGCCTCCTGGGTTCAGGCAATTCTCCTGCCTCAGCCTCCTGAGTAGCTGGGATTACAGGCATGTGCCACCATGCCCAGCTAATTTTTTGTATTTTCAGTAGAGACAGGGTTTCACCATGTTGACCAGGATGGTCTCAATCTCTTGACCTTGTGATCCACCCGCCTCGGCCTCCCAAAGTGCTGGGATTACAGGCGTGAGCCACCTCGCCCGGCCAACAAATATTAAAACAGACTTTGTGATATATGGTTTGTGGCTATTAAGATACATGTTGAAGACCGTATGAGAATTAAGAACTTGATGTGAATGGATGGTAGAATACTAAGAATTCTCAGTCAAGTTCCTAAAAATGGAACTTAAAAAGTGTTCTAGAGCAGTTTTAGGTTTACAGCAAAATTAAGAAGTTAGAGAGACTCCTCATATATATCCTGCCACCAATAATGCACAGCCTCCCCCGTCAACATCCCCTACCAATGTGGTACATTTGTTGCAACTGATGAGCCTACATTGAAATATCATCATCCAAAATCCATAGTTCACAGTAGGGTTCACTCTTGAAGTTGTTTGTTCTACTGGTTTGGCTAAATGTATATGACAGGTATCCACCATTGGTTTGTGCAGAGCGAACCATTGGTTCGCTGCCCTAAAAGTCTTCTGTGCTTCACTTAATTATCCCTTCCTACCACTACCTCCTGCTGCACCACAGCCTCTGAGGACCGCTATTTTTTTAATCAACTGTCTCCATGGTTTTGCCTTTTTAGAACGTCATCTAGGCTAGGCGCAATGGCTCATACCTGTAATCCCAGCACTTTGGGAGGCCGAGGTGGGTGGATCACCTGAGGTCACCTGGCCAACATGGCAAAACCCCATGTTCGAGACCAGCCTGGCCAACATGGCAAAACCCCATCTCTACTAAAAAATACAAAAAAATTAGCCAGGCATGGTGGCAGTCGCCTGTAATCCCAGCTACTCAGGAGGCTGAGGCAAGAGAATCGCTTGAACCTGGGAGTTGGAGGTTGCAGTGAGCTGAGATGGTGCCACTGCACTCCAGCCTGGCAACAGAGCGGGACTTGTCTCACAAAAAAAAAAGGGGGGGGCTGGGTGTGTTGGCTGATTGATGCCTGTAATCCCAACACTTTGGGAGGCCAAGGTGGGTGGATCACGAGGTCAGGAGATCGAGACCAGCCTGGTTAACACAGTGAAACCCTGTCTCTACTAAAAATACAAAAAATTAGCCAGGTGTGGTGGCACATGCCTGTAATCCTAGCTACCCAGGAGGCTGAGGCAGGAGAATCGTTTGAACCCAGGAGGCGGAGGTCGCAGTGAGCTGAGATCGCACCACTGCACTCCAGCCTGGGCGACAGAGTCTCTGTCTCAAAAACTAATAAATAAAAATAAAAAATAAAATAAAAAGTAGAATATGATCTAGTTAGAATCATACAGTATGTAGTCTTCTCAGCCTTGGCGTCTCTCACTTAGTACTTGGATGATAAAATCATCTGTACAACGAACCGTCAGGGCACAAGTTTACCTGTATAACAAATCTGCATGTGTACACCTGAACTTAAGTGTTTTTTTGGTTTTTTTTTAAAGGTTAGGTTCTGGTTAACTAGCTTCTCCTGAGGGCAGGCCCTGTTAGGAACACAGGGCTCTGACATATCTTAAAATCGTTTTTTTCCCTCCTCCTTCTGGAAACACTAAACAATTTTCCTCTGGTATTTACTGTGAGAACCTCGTCAAGCTCCTAGAGGTAAAACTCTCAAAATTGTGGGGACCCTCCTATGACTGGGAATACCTGGAGTTTTGAGCCCTCACAGTTGTCCATGCCGAGGCTGCAGTCACTCATCAGTTACAGTTCAAGTCACCTGACCCGGGAACTGTTTCCCTGGGAAGTTTCCTGAGTCTTTGCTCCGGCCGGCGAGGACTCCTTGTTTTTGCCCGTTTGTCTCACCAATACTGGAGGCAGTGATTTGCCCTGTGTGTCCTCACATCTTGAAAATCCTCGGAGAGCTGTTCATTTGTTTCAATCTGTTTAGCTTTTGACTTGCTGTTAGCACAGTATAGTGACTTCAAAGCTCCTTACAAGTAGAATCGGAAACTGAAAGTCTGCTGTCCTTTTTTCTTTTTTTTTAAATTTTTTTTTTTTTATTGCATTTTAGGTTTTGGGGTACATGTGCAGAACATGCAAGATAGTTGCATAGGTACACACTTGGCAGTGTGATTTGCTGCCTTCCTCCCCTTCACCTATATCTGGCATTTCTCCCCAGGCTATCCCTCCCCAACTCCCCACCCCCGCTGTCCCTCCCCTATTCCCCCAATAGACCCCAGTGTGTGGTGCTCCCGTCCCTGTGTCCATGTGTTCTCATTGTTCATCACCCGCCTATGAGTGAGAACATACGGTATTTCATTTTCTGTTCTTGTGTCAGTTTGCTGAGAGTGATGTTCTCCAGATTCATCCATGTCCCTACAAAGGACACGAACTCATCCCTTTTTTCTTTTAAACATACTTGCTACTGAAATGCATATCTTGGCATTTTATCAAGTCTTATTTTGTATTTAGTTTGCTGTGTTAAACGTTTATCATGTTTCACTGGTCAGTACCTTTTCAATATGGATGCTATATTTTCTAGGATTGAAGTAGCTGGACATGCTGACTCCTATACAAACATATTACGGAAATATACTAGATCAGCACTGCAGATGGTAAGTGTCTAGTTGATACATGCACAGTCTTTAGTTATTGTTCTCATTTTAATAAGTATTTAAGAATTCAAAATGTTGTCGTTGGTTTCCTATACTTGCCAACGAAAGCAGATTAACCTGCATAATACAGTGGAATACACACTTGCATGCCTTAGCTATTCCTGAATATCACAATCTTATGCTAATTTTCTCACGCTTGAAGTTGTGTAATTACTTTTAAAATCTCCTAACTTGAAAAAACACACCATATAGCCTGCGTGCAGTGGCTCACACCTGTAATCTCAGCACTTTGGGAAGCCAAGATGGGTGGATCATGAGGTCAGGAGTTTGAGACCAGGCTGGCCAAGATGGGGAAACCCCATCTCTACTAAAAATAGAAAAATTAGCCAGACGTGGTGGCAGGCACCGGTAATCTACCTCCTCAGGACGCTGAGGCAGGAGAATCGCTTGAACCCAGGAGGCAGAGCTTGCAGTGAACCAAAATTGCTCCACTGCACTGTAGACTGGGCGACAGAGCAAGATTCCATCTCAAAAAAAAAAAAAAAAACCACCACATAAATGTAAAGTGGTAATGGATATTAATAATCGCCACATTCATTACATTTATCCCCAGATATAACCTGCCAAGTCTGTGATCACATTCTTCTAGCCTGTGTTACTCTCCTTGCCTGGTATTTTTCTTTCTTTTTTTTTGGTGGGGGTGGGGGATGGAGTCTTGCTCCACAGCTCTGGCTGGAGTGCAGTGGTGTGATCTCAGCTCATTGTAACCTACCTCCCCGTTCAAACAATTCTCCTGCCTCAGCCTTCCGAGTAGCTGGGATTACAGGCACCTGCCACCATGCTTAGCTAATTTAAATTTTGTAATACACATTCTGAAATCTAATGTCTTTGTTTTGAAGTCCTGTTGGACTTTTATTTCTCGCTTCTTGTTACTTGAGTACTGTATTATTCTTTTTCCTAGCCCCCTCTAGGGTAAGAGAAGGCCCCACTGGGAACCAGCAAAGCATCATCCTATTCTAGGATTAGAATCGGAGTAAAAGGGACTTTGGCAGCTGTTTGAATTCCAGCTTATTTTCTTTTTTTTTTTTTTTTTTTGAGACGGAGTTTCACTCTTGTTACCCAGGCTGGAGTGCAATGGCGCGATCTCGGCTCACCGCAACCTCCGCCTCCTGGGTTCAGGCAATTCTCCCGCCTCGGCCTTCCAAGTAGCTGGGATTACAGGCACGCACCACCATGCCCAGCTAATATTTTGTATTTTTAGTAGAGACGGGTTTCACCATATTGACCAGGATGGTCTCGATCTCTTGACCTCGTGATCCACCCGCCTCAGCCTCGCAAAGTGCTGGGATTACAGGCTTGAGCCACCGTGCCCGACCCCAGCTTATTTTCATAACAGGAATTTTCTTGCTCGCTTGGCATCTGCCTGAAAAGCTCAAGGTTACCTTTTTCAATGTGGGGCTTTCTTCAAAGGTCTTTTACTGCTTGAAGAGGAACTTGTCCCACTTTTATTCATTTAATCATCCTATATTGGCTTTTTGGAACAATTTCTTTCTCAAGATATTCCCTTAAATATTTTAAGACATTATGTCAGATGGCATGGGGGAAGCATAGCCACAATCTTGTGTGGCCCAAATAGTTGGAAATGATCCATGAAATAGGGACTAACAACCACTTATAAAATTTTAAAAGTGCAGATGGAAATCTCCATAGACCAGCAATAGAATGGGATTCTGTATGTAAGTCGGAATCAAGATTCATGTGACTCGGATTTCAAAGACTGGCATCAGGCAGGAGCAGAACAAGGCTGTGTAATATAGTAGGCTGATGTAATAAAAAGATAGCAGGCTACATATTTACGTTGTACTTAAAATGTGACCTTCACAAATATGACTGGTGTAATAACACTACCAGGCATTCACAAGTACTTGATGTTTGGGGATGTGTTTTCTTTATGGCAGGCACAGACGGCTTGCAGATCAGTATTTTATTTTATTTTATTTATTTATTTTTTTTTTTTTGAGGAGGAGTTTAGCTCTTGTTACCCAGGCTGGAGTAGCAATGGCGCGATCTCGGCTCACCGCAACCTCCGCCTCCTGGGTTCAGACAATTCTCCTGCCTCAGCCTCCCGAGTAGCTGGGATTACAGGCATGCGCCACCATGCCCAGCTAATTTTTTGTATTTTTAGTAGAGACGGGGTTTCATCTTGTTGACCAGGATGGTCTCGATCTCTTGACCTCGTGATCCACCTGCCTTGGCCTCCCAAAGTGCTGGGATTAGAGGCATGAGCCACTGTGCCCAGCTGCAGATCAGTATTTTAAATGAGTCAAGATGAGGAAACACGTGTATATGAATAATAAAGAATTAAAATCCTGCCAGGTGCGGTGGCTCACACCTGTATAATTCCAGCACTTTGGGAGGGTGAAGCAGGTAGATCATCTGAGGTCAGGAGTTCAAAACAAGCCTGGCCAACATGGCGAAACCCTGTCTTTACTCAAAAACACAAAAGCAGCTGGGTATGGTAGCGCATGCCTGTAGTCCCTGCTATTTGGGAGGCTGAGGCAGGAGAATCGCTTAAAACTGGGAGGCGGAGGTTGCAGTGAGCCAAGATTGTGCCACTGAACTCCAGCCTGGGCGACAAGAGCAAAGCTCCATCCCACACACAAAAAAAAGAATTAAAATTCTATAAATGTGAGTTGGAATCTGTAAGGCAGAAATAGAGGAAATGAAAGTGTTCCCAGACCAAACTGAGGGTCGGGCTGCTATTTCTTGCTGCACAATAATGAGATGCAGATGAACTGGAGTGGAAGGGAGTTTTTATTTATGTAACTAGTTCTAAGGAGGAGGCCTGGAAATTGTCCCCAGACCAACTCAAAATTACAAAATTTTTCAGGGCTTAGAAAACCTTCTAAGCTACATGTCTATGCTTAAGTGTGCATTTGTCTAAAGACATAAGTGATTAACTTTTCATCTACAACTGAGATCTGAGTTCTGAAGACCTTCTTCTGGAGTCTTAGTAAATGTACTTAATCTAAATGGGCCCAGGTGCTGGGGTGATTACCCTTATCTTGTCTCCTGATAAATTATGGAGGTTTGGGGAGTTCCTGCAGACCTCCAATAAACCTGTTTGTGGAGAGACCTGGGGAGTTTTTTCAGACTCCCAGTAAAACTTGTCTAATCCTAAATGGGTCCTGTTAAGAATTCATTCATTATTTTGTCATGCTTTGAGGCCCAGGAAAGGCCTAGGCAAAACTCATGGTGAGCTTTTGCTACATTCCAGCCTTTGTCTAAGGGCACTGGCTTTTTTAGCTTTTAATATTTAACTTAACCACTCAGTACTGAAGAGTTGTGATGGAGGCCTGCGTTAGTGAAAACTGGCCTGCCACAAAAGTATATTCAGGTTACAGCTTTCTTTACAGGAAGTGAAACAGATCTAGTATTAAGGCTACAAGAATAAAAATAGTCTCTTTGGATTTAATATTAATCACTCATTTCTGAACATCAGACATTTGCAATAAAAATGCCAGTTGGGGACACCGTCCTCATAATTTTAAACAGAAAATCTTACAAATGTTCTGTTTAAAATTATTATGCGGCCGGGCATGGTGGTTTACGCCTGTAATCCCAGCACTTTGGGAGGCCAAGCCGGGTGGATCATGAGGTCAGGAGATCGAGACCATCTCGATTAAATGGTAAAAACCCGTCTTTACTAAAAATACAGAAAATTAGCCAGATGTGATGGCACACACCTATACTCACAACTGCTCAGGAGGCTGAGGCAGGAGAATCCCTTGAGTCCGGGAGGTGGAGGTTGCAGTGAGCCAAGATCGTGCCACTGCACTCCAGCTTGGGCTACAGAGCAAGACTCCATCTCAAAAAATTTATGCATGAATCCAATCTGAACCTTCCATTTATTTTTTTTCTAGATATTTAGAAACTTTTATTCCCTTTAATATTATATTTTAGTGTAATTTCAGACTTATAGGAAGAATTAGAAAAATAATACAAATACCCTTTTTTACCACATTTGTATAATCGCAGTTTTTCTCTACCATATGCATATGATTGTAATTCATGTAGTTACTATATATGCATATGTATGTGTGATATGCTGCTCCATTAATCTCTAAATATGTCAATGCGTATTTTAAAAACAGAGACATACTCTTAACATGTTACCCAGTTAAGAAAATTAATATTGAGGGATAACGCTGTTTTCTAATCTGTATGAATAATTCTAATCTCACCACTCATCTGTAAACCAAAACATTAAAAGCCGGTCCTTTGAAAATATGAAAATTTGATATTGTCAGACTGAAAATGACTAAGGCTAAAGAAATAGAAACAAGTATAATTCATTAGCATAGATTCACTAGCGATTAATGAAATACTGAACCACCAAAAGCTATGTGGCAGTCATTTGAAAATTTGAAATAGGTCACCTTTAGAAAAAATGCAAATGATTTAGTCTGAACTATGGGACAAATACTTCTCAATATAGACAATGCATTTGAAAATCTGCATCCTTTCATGTGAAAGGAAGAAAAACAGTCTAGAATAAGAAAAGAATGTCCTTAATCTGATAAAAGATGTCTGCCAAAAATGTACTTAAATTATTTCTAACATGATGATGCTTAATCATTATTTTCCCAAGAAAGTCAGGAATAGCCCCATTAGTAGCCGGTCTTCCTAACTGCTTTCTTTCCTACTGGAGATCCAACCCAGTATTTGAAACCGTGGAACTCAGGCGATTTCCGTAACTCCTGAGTTTGCTTACTCAGCAGTAAAATGGGAACACTACTACTCATCTGAGTGGGTTGCTGAAAGTATTCACTTTGCCAAGGAAACCGCTCAGCGAGTGCCTTACACATCCTGATGAAGCTGTCTCATCGTGTGAGGTGTTATCTGAGCTCTTTGTTTCATGGCCAAGAAAATTTAGTAGTGTGGACACCAAGGGTAAGGTTGGAGCAAAAGAGGAAAGCTCTCTGCAGCAGAGAGGGGGCCTGAGAGGGCTGCCACTTTACCATTGAACACAAAAGCTTTTATAAGAAATTTCCCTGTATTGCTGTCTGTGCAACTGTCCTCATCTGTGCAGCTGCAGGCATGTCTCAGCCAAGCCTCCCCCTTTTGCAAGTGCCCATGGAGCCCACAGTGTGTACCTGTCCATAGAAGGGGAGGAAACTTTTTCCTGGAGCCTGCAGATTGCACAGAGAACAAAGGCATTTCTGTGCTGGGCCTTGCTCCCTTATCTGTGCAGCTGCAGCTTGATTTTTCAGGTTGTTTAAAAGAATTTTACCAAGGCCCTGCCTTAAGTGGTTTTTTCCCCCGTTTCTCCTCTTTGTGATAGTTTCATAAATAGTGACTGTCCTGACCATTGTATCCTTCAGCCTGATTTTAATCCATCCTTGTCAACATGGTGATAAGTTCCTGGAAACTGAACAGTTGGATGGCAGTGATATGGCAGGCTTAAGCAGTTGATGTATATTGCCAAATCGCCTCTTGCAGCAATTGCTGTCATTTATAATGATAATTTATAACATTAAGCAAATTTATAACACTATGATTTAAACACTTAGAGCAAATTGATGTTAATTATAGTTTATAATGTTATTTTATGTTTCTTCCACGCATTCGCCCTTCTTATTGTTTAATGTAACTAATAATTATAACTAATTATAATTTTCTAATATAAATATATTATAAATTGATATAACTGTTATAATTAATAACATGGCTCTAGACACTTCACCCTCTTGGACTCAAATATTTTCCTAATAAATTGACTCTAGCTTGTCCGTCTTCCACCTAAGTTGCTTGCTCCAGATGGTTTTTCTTTCCTGTATCACTGCTGTATCTTAAGAAATATCATGTGTGCTGGTTTTCAAGGTGATTTGTATCCTGCCCGATGATGACAAATACAGATATGACCACATAAAAAAATACCTGTGTACCACATTCCCGTTTCCAAGCCAATGTGCAGTGAAAAAGACCATTGAGAAGGTCCAGGCAAAGACTATCATCACCAAGATTGCCCAGCAGATGAATTGCAAGATGGGAGGAGCCCTCTGGAAGGTGGAGACAAACGTATGTTGTATTTCATTGACTCTGTTTAACTTAGAGCTGATAAAACGTGAGATTCTCTCTTAATTGTTAACGCTGAAATTTTGCTCACATTCTAACTCAAGGTACAAAGAACAATGTTCATTGGCATCGATTGTTTCCACGATATTGTTAATCAACATAAATCCATAGCGGGATTTGTGGCAAGTACGAATGCCGAGTTAACCAAGTAAGCAAGCTCTGGCAGACGTTGTTTGGTTGGTAGCTGTCTGTGGACCAAGCAGAAGAGACGAGCCTAATTACTATTTGTTAAGAGGTTGGGAGTTTGACAGATGAGTTATTAGTCACGTGTTCTCCGGATTTTTCTGGCAAAGTTACGTTCCCAGAAAGTTTTGCATGGTTGGCTGGCTCCACATTATTTTCTATTGCTGCCTCACATACCACAAATGTGGCAGTTTCTGACAACGCCCATCTCTGCACAGTTCTTCTGATCAGACAACTGGTAGTGTATAACTCTCAGGACCTTACAAGGCATAAATTAAGGTGTCAGCCAATCCACATTATCATCTGGAGGCTTGGCAGCCCTCCTCTTCCAAGCTCATGTCGTTGTGGCTGAATCCGTTTCTTTGCGGTTGGATGACAGAGGTCCCTGTTTTGTTGTCATCGGCTTTCAGCTGCAGGCCAGTCCTGGCTTCTCTCTCATAGCAAACCCTTCTCCATCTTCCAGCCAGCCAGGGCACATTGAGCCCTTACTCTGTTTTGAAACTGACTTCTGCCATCAGCCAGAAAAAACATTCCTGCTTTTAGAGGAGCTCATGTGATTACAAATGACCCATTTGGAAAACTGTCATCATGAAGCCAACTGAGCCGTATAGCATATAACATAATCACAGGGGTGGGATCCTGCTATAATCACAGGCTCCAGGGATTAGAACAGGTAGAATTCTGCCTACCATCGCTCTGATGGGTAAATGTCTTTAATGGAGATCATTAACACATAGTGAAATATTTAAGATGTGCATGGGTAAAGAGACACTGAAACATAATTAGTGGCCAGAGATCTGTAAGTACAGAATCTCGTCTTCATATACTTGCACATGATGTACTCGCGAAAGGAGATGCGTGTCTAAATCCTGTGCTCTCCTTTGCTCCCAGGGCCCCTCTATTTTCTGTTCTCAGTAGAAACCACACTGCACCTTGAAATAAGTTTGCAGTCCTTTGCACGTTACTCAATGTGTGACCATTGTAAATCACCTCTGTGTTTAATAATGATTGTGGCCCCTGGGTACAATTCAGAAATCTCTTTAAGACCAAATTTATTTCTGTAGATGATGACTTTTTCCCAGTCATACGCTGTTTCACTGTGATAACACTGTTTTTGCTCGACTTTTTGTTTGAAAATAATGTTGCAATCATAGGGAAAAATTATACTTTGAGTTAGATGCTTTTTTCAAGTAATAAACTTATTTTAATAGTGTAAAATATAATCTTTCCAATCGAGGAGAGGAAAAACTTCCAAACAATTATGAAAATAGCCGATACCTTGAACAGAGAGAAACACAAATAGCTAAGTAAATATTACAGTTGTTTACTCCAAACCCAAGAAAGCAGAGACCCCTGAACCCAGGAGGTGGAGGTTGCGGTGAGCCGGGATCGCGCCATTGCACTCCAGCCTGGGTAACACGAGCTAAACTCTGTCTCAAGAAAGAAAGCAGAGACCATCATTACAAGCCAGATCATCACTGGAGCTGTTAACAGACTCTGAGTGGTCACCATGTTCAGATGCTGACACTGTGGCAGTGAACAAGTGGAGCTAAGGTGCCTGGCCATCCCCTGTGGATTAAATCCTAGTGAGAAGACAGACAAATCCATCACAATATGTCAGGTGGTCAGATGGGATTACTCTGCAGTAACGGGATAGAAACCTGAGGCAACATACAATTTTACTGGGTATGTTGAAGTTGTCGCAACAGCCACCACCATTCCAAGGCAAACCCGTTCCTCAGTGACGAGGAACACGTACGAGCCGCTGTTCAGGGCATTGATCCCGAAGCAGGAACCATGGGGAGCACAGGACTTTCATTTCATTGCATTCCCCTCGTAGGCGAAACTAGTTGTCTTGTACAATAAGGTGTGATTAATTTGTAGTAATGTGAATAAATGCTTCCATTCTGTTTCACTATATGTACTCAATTTCCTGAAATGCCTACGGCATCAAAAGAGACCAATATTTATTATCTCTGTGGAAATAGGAATTGATGCTAAAATGTCTCCAACTACAGATAGTAATATATATATTTTTTTGGCTCATGGATTAATGCAGACTCAAAATGAGACTTTAAGAATCTTGTTTTCCAAACTGGTGGTTTATTTTTTTCTGTGACCAGGTGGTACTCTCAGTGTGTCATCCAGGCCACAGGAGAAGAGCTTGTGAATGAGCTGCACACCTGCTTGAAAGGTCAGTGTCTTGTAGCTCTCCCCCAATGATCTGTCGCCTCCAGAGGACACTTGGTAATGACTGAACCTTTCATTTTTGGTATCGCAGCTGGGGTGGAGGTGCTACCGGCATTTAGTCTAGTGGGTAGAGGACAAAGATGCTGCTAAACATCCTCCCATGCCTGGGTTGAACCCCGCCTCCACCACAAATCATTCTCTGGATCAAAACTTCCATAGCGCTGTTGCTGAGGAACCCTGGAATAGATAGGACTTAAAGTAGTATGCCCTGAAAGCTGCAGTGTTGAAAGATGGACCTAGAATCTGTCAAAAGCAGCAAAGGCTAGTTTGTTTTGAGTTACGGTTTATTTAAACAAGTTTGTGATTTCCCTCTCAGCTGCCCTGGATGTCTGGTGTGAAAACGAATCATCAATGCCACATTCTATTATTGTGTATCGAGATGGAGTGGGAGATGGTCAGCTTCAAGCATTGCTTGACCAGGAAGCAAAACAGATGTCAACCTACTTAAAACCCATCTCTCCTAACAAGTAGGTTGTATTAATTGTAATGTGTAGTGACTCACACCCCCAGCACTCTGGGGGTCAAGGTGGGCAGATCACTTGAGCCCAGGAGTTCAAGACCAGCTTGGGCAACATAGTGAGACCCTATCTCTACAAAAAAACCAAAAAGAAGGCTGGGCGTGGTGGCTCGTGCCTGTAATCCCAACACTTTGGGAGGCCAAGGCGGTTGGATCACAAGGTCAAGAGATCGAGACCATCCTGGCCAACATGGTGAAACCCCATCTCTACTAAATACAAAAATTAGCTGGGTGTGGTGGTGCGCACCTGTAGTCCCAGCTGCTCAGGAGGCTGAGGCAGGAGAATTGCTTGAACCCAGAAGGCGGAGATTGCAGTGAACCGAGATCACGCCACTGCACTCCAGCCTGGCGACACAGCAAGACTGTCTCAAAAAGCAAAATTAGCCAAGCATGGTGGTATGTGTCTGCAGTCCTAGCTACTCAGAAAGCTGAGGTGGGCAGGTCACTTGATCCTAGGAGCCCTGCACTCTAAGCTGGGTGACACAGTGAGACCATGTCCCAAAAAAAAAACTGTACGGTGTGGATTTTAGCCCTACATTTCAGTCTTTGAAACCAGATGTTTTTTGGGGAAAACACTGATACAATATGTGATGAGGGTAGGTGCTTGATATAAATAGTGGCTTCTGTGGATGGGTGGGGAGGGAAAAAAGACCCTTCTGCTTTGATTTTTGCATTTTACACCCAAGTCAGAATGCAAAGCAGAATTGGATCCTGGCAGTAGCCGGCTGCTTCCACTGCAAAGCCCCAGTGAATCTTTTTCTTTTCATTTTCTTTCAAGTCTTGCTGTGGGAGGGCTTGCTATCTTCAGATCGCCATAGAAATCCATGAATTGCTGGGCACAGTGGCTCATACCTGTAATCCCAACACTTTGGGAGGCCGAGGTGGGCGGATCACTTGAGGTCAGGAGTTTGAGACCAGCCTGGCCAACAGCAAAACCCATCTGTACTAATAAAAATACAAAAATTAGCTGTGTGTGGTGGCTTGTGTCTGTAATTACAGCTACTTGGGAAGCTGAGCCATGAGAATCACTTGAACCCAGGAGACGGAGATTGCAGTGAACTGAGATTGTATCACTATACTCCAGCCTGGGGGACAGAGTGAGGCTGTGTCTCAAAAAAAGAAGAAATCCATGAATGTAGTCTGCCAGTAGTAGGCTCTTATCCTTATTTTATCCTGTGTCGTCAGCTGAAGGGGATCTCCAGCCCTAAGACTTAGTAAACCTACAGAATTCCACTTTTGTAAAACTCCTGTTTTATGAGGGCCCGCTGCCCAGCAGCAATGTTAAGAATGGTTCTCAATTTGGGAGGAAGGGACCCTTCCCCTGGGATGTGGGTGGCTATGAATAAATACCTCCTCATTTACTGCTTTAATCGGGCACATGGAGCTTAGACAGTAAAATCAGGGTGTAAGGAGGGTTGCTGTCCATTCTTCTTAACAGGTCCTGAATGTAAAATAGATATTTTAATACGCTTATGCTTCTGTGATAAGACTGAGTAAACATTGACACTTACCCTAATTGTTTAAAGTTTTGCTCTAGCTTTCATTGTGGTGAAGAAACGAATAAACACTAGATTTTTTCTTAAATGTGGAAGCCGTTTTGAAAATCCACGTCCAGGAACAGTTATTGATGTAGAGTTGACTAGGAATGAATGGTAAGCCACCTGTGGTTTTTGCATCTGGTTCTATAATTTTCTTAATTTGCTTCAGTTCAGCACAATCACTTAATTCCAATAACTTTACCTGAAAGCATTTCTGATTCTTTACAGATAATTTGGTCTCTGTTTTCTTATTATTAGGCAGGGATTCCTCATTTGGATCTAGAAATTGCGATTCATCATGTGGTGGTTGAAGTTGCTTCATCAAACTTTTTTTTTTTTTTTGAGATGGAGTTTCGCTCTTGTTACCCAGGCTGGAGTGCAATGGCGCGATCTCGGCTCACCGCAACCTCTGCCTCCTGGGTTCAGGCAATTCTCCTGTCTCAGCCTCCTGAGTAGCTGGGATTACAGGCACGCGCCACCATGCCCAGCTAATTTTTTGTATTTTTAGTAGAGACGGGGTTTCATCTTGTTGACCAGGATGGTCTCGATCTCTTGACCTTGTATCCACCGCCTCAGCCTCCCAAAGTGCTGGGATTACAGGCATGAGCCACCGCGCCCAGCCCATCAAACTTTTATAAATGTCTTGACCCCCTAAGAGTTAACTTCACTGTGGCCCTAAAACCCTTTTACTTATGAATACAAAAGATAGCAAGTGATCTTTATATTGACAATTTAGAGTCATCACAAATCAAATTATATTGAATATATCATGACCATCAAAATGTTTATGCAGTACCCTGAGAGGTTCTATTTATTTATTTATTTTTAATTAATATTTTTTTGAGATGGAGTCTTGCTCTGTTTCCCAGGCTGGAGTGCAGTGGCACGATCTTGGCTCACTGCAACCTTCACCTCCACCTCCCAGGTTCAAGCAATTCTCCTGACTCAGCCTCCTGTGTAGCTGGGATTACAGGTGCCCGCCAATACACCTGGATAATTTTTTTTATTTTTAGTAATGACACGGTTTCACCATGTTGGCCAGACTGGTCTTGAACTCCTGACCTCAAGTGATCCACCCGCCTTGGCCTCTCAAAGTGCTGGGATCACAGGCATGAGCCACCATGGCCGGCCAGAGGTTTCTATTTTTAAAATTTCTTTCTGCTTAAAAACAGCAGTGTGCAAAAAGAGACCAGTTCTTCTTATGTGAAACATTTTGTATGACACTTAATCCTAAGAATCTGAACAAGGAAATAATGTGTTCAGAAGGTAATACTGAATAGGCTGCAAAATGGTTTCGTTTCATATAGTTAGCCCTGTTGTTCATGGAGACAAGGAAGTAATTCCGAACAGTGAATTAGAAGTCTTTCTTGGCTGGGCGAGGTGGCTCAAGCCTGTAATCCCAGCACTTTGGGAGGCCGATGTGGGTGGATCATGAGGTCAAGAGATAGAGACCATCCTGGCCAACATGGTGAAACCCCATCTCTACTGAAAATACAAAAATTAGCTGGGCGTGGTGGCGTGTGCCTGTAGTTCCAACTACTCAGGAGGCTGAGGCAGGAGAATTGCCTGAACCCAGGAAGCAGAGGTTGCGGTGAGCCGAGATTGTGCCACTGTACTCCAACCTGGGTAACAAGAGTGAAACTCCATCTCAAAAAAAAAAGTCTTTTTCTTGTTATGAGGAAGCAAGTCATTACGAGTGAGAGGCCAGACTTTAAGACATTAGGATTAGACACACAACTTCCGAAAGATGAAATGGTTGCAGGCATTTTATGTAAAAACATATTAAAATAATAAAAGATACAAAAAGGAATAAAGGCCATAAGAATGTCGAATATAAAAGTCAATTTGTATTTGAATATCTAACAAACATGAATATAATTGAAATGAAGAAAAATCAGTGGAAGGGTTAAAGAGAAGGTTAGACATAAAAAAACAAATTGTTAACTGGAACATATGTTTGCAAAATTCCCAAATGCAGTGGAGAGTCATAAAGATATGGAAGATATGAAAAAAATGTTTAGAAAAATATAAGGCAAAATAAGATTTGTTCAATATCAAATAGAAGTTTCAGTAGTAGATAAGATATGATGGGGGTGTCGTGGGGTGAAGCAATATTCAAAGAGAAAGTCTGAGATTCTGAATCCTCAGACTGAAGAATAAAAGGATTTGAGCAAAGATCAATAATAGTTCACACTTAGAAATGTTATAGTGAAACTTCAGACAGCAAGCATAAGAAAATTTAAAAGCAACTAGAGGAACAAATATTTACAAACAATAAAAATCATTCAGCAAGAGTGGAAACCAGAGTACTATGAAGTATCTTTAAAATGCTTAAAAATAGCTGTCAGGCTAGAATTTGATACCCAGCTAACTTATCAAGGGTGACAGTGAAATACAAACAGTTATATACAGTATATACATTAACAGATTCACCAGACCCTAACTGAGAGAACTACCCAAAAGACTGTATTTTAGGAAGAAGGAAATTGAACAGTTAAGGGAGAATGAAATGCAAGAAGCAATGCTGATCAGTAACAATGGAGTATAAAAAAACCCTTGATTTCATAAATGGCTAATTTATAGGGTATATTATAACAGGACCTAAAATATTGAATGTAACACACAGAAAAGGAGTTATGAGGTTAAAGGATATTAAGATTTTTCAATTATTAATGAAAATGATAAAAGCTTCTGATGCTTTTTGCTTGTTAAGTCCGTTATACAAATGAAAGACTTATGTGAAACCACAGTAGGAAATCGTGACATTCATAACAAGAGTTAGGGGGAAGTGAAGGAAAAGCAGAAACATTTGATCAATCTAGGAGAAGGCAGGAAAAAATTAAAGAGAAGAGCAAATAAAAATTATTATAAAGTACAACATAAGATTGTACACATAAAAATAATTCAACATAATACACATAAATCAATCTTATTGCTTGTATTGTCTAAGAAGTTTTGTTTTTTTTTTTTTTTTGAGATGGAGTTTCGCTCTTGTTACCCAAGCTGGAGTGCAATGGTGCGATCTAGGCTCACTGCAACCTCTGCCTCCCGGGTTCAAGCAATTCTCCTGCCTCAGCCTCCTGAGTAGCTGGGATTACAGGCACGCGCCACCATGCCCAGCTAATTTTTTTGTATTTTTAGTAGAGATGGGGTTTCACCATGTTGACCAGGATGGTCTCGATCTCTTGACCTCATGATCCACCCACCTCGGCCTCCCAAAATGCTGGGATTACAGGCGTGAGCCACCGCGCCCGGCCCGTCTAAGAAGTTTATAGTCCAGTGATTCTCAGTGAGGCAGCAGGTCTTCATCCCAGGGTCTCTGAACATAATTATCTACACCCGTATCAGATCAAATGTGCCAGTCTTGTTTCGTCCTCCAGGTTTCAGTGCATATATTTGAAGTCAAAATCCTAGGAGAGTTACTATCTGTGTCAGTTATTTAATTGCCTTCTACAGATTTGCTTTCTCACATCGTTTATCAGTTAGACAGGTTTCTGAATGTAAAGGAAACTTAAGTCTACAGAAGAGATCTTTGTAAGCTGTTATACTAGATGTTTTCATTTCAGACATCAGCTTTACTATACCTTCTTTTTCAAATGAGCTGATACCCACATGTCCTCTAATTCCAGGTATGACTTTTTTGTCGTGAGTCAGCATGTGAAAGAAGGGACTGTTACCCCCACTCATTATAACGTCATCTATGACACGATTGGCTTGAGCACAGATACAGTGCAGCGTTTAACTTACTGTCTGTGCCACACGTATTATAATTTGCCAGTAAGTACTTTTTTTCTCTTTAGATATTTTAAATGTAATATTCAAGATTAAACAACGTTGGACCTCTGCATTGGCTTCTATGAACTTAAATTTAGGGAAAGATGTAAAGTGAAAAATATTTAGTTGTGTTTTTCTTTTTTTCTACTAAAGGGCACCATTCGAGTTCCAGCGCCTTGCCACTATGCCCACAAGCTGGCATATGTCGTGGGGCAGTCCATTCACGAGAAACCGAATCGTTCACTGTCAACCCTTCTCTTTTACCTTTGACTTGTAGCAGACCTGATGAGGTACTGAAAGCACAACTTGTCAATCTGTCTTCCTTTTGGAGCAGGATGTCTGAAATATTTTCCTGCTTTATAGCTTTAAATTCTCATCGTTCTTGATTGGACACGAGAGAGATTCGGAGTGATACGTTCTACTCTCAGTACTACCACGGACTGATCTTTCCAGAGTAGAACTGACAGGGTTTGGCTTGCATTTTCCCTTTCAAATCGGTGTCAGAGATCTTATAACTAAATGTGACTGAACGTGTTCCACCCCAAGCAGGGCCACTCGGATAATTGAAAAGACTGGGCATCTGTCAACAACTCTACTTTTCCAACTCTACTTGGAAAACTATATCTACTTTAGTTTTGAAACTTTTTTGTTAGGCAGGAAAGGAAGACATCAAAATAATAACACTGGATTTCTGTTTAATGTTTTGTATTTAGAATTAAGCTATTACTGATGAGTTACATAGGAAGCACTGTGTTATTCCTTGTACTCGGGTGGGAATTTGGATGTATTTGGGTGGAGTGGTCATAATGAAAGCTTGATTATGCTTGTAATTCCAGCACTTAGGGAGGCCGAGGTGGGCGGATGACCTGAGGTCAGGAGTTCGAGACCAGCCTGGCCAGTATGGTGAAATCCCATCTCTACTAAAATTACAAAAATTAGCTGGGCGTGGTGGCGGTGCCTGTAGTCTCAGCTACTCGGGAGGCTGAGGCAGAAGAATCGCTTGAACCCAGGAGGCGGAGGTTGCACCACTGCACTCCAGCCTGGGTGACAAAGTGAGACTCTGTCTCAAAAATAAAAAGCTGGCAGCTTAGGAGCATAAACATTTGGTTGCTTTTTTCCCACAAAGAAGGAAAGCTAAACTCTGTTAATGAATTTGTCTATTTCATTCTATCGCACAGTCCCAGTGTATTATGTTAGCCGTATCGTAATTAGACATCTTCAGTAAGTTATTTAAGTGAAGCTATTATGTTTTTCTAGAAAGCAGACTTTTTTCTCTCCTACTATCCTTAATTAGACTCAGGAGACAATGTTTTTTTCTTTCTTTTTTTTTTCTTTTGAGATGATGTCTTGCTCTTGTTCCCCAGGCTAGAGTGCCATGGCGTGATCTTGGCTCACTGCAGCCTCTGCCTTCTGGGTTCAAGCGATTCTCCTGCCTCAGCCTCCCAAGTATCTGGGACTACAGGCATGTGCCACCATGTCTGGCTAATTTTTGCATTTGTAGTAGAGACAGGGCTTTGTCATGTTGTCCAGGCTTGTCTCGAACTCCTAACCTCAAGTGATCCGCCTGCCTCGATCTCCCAAAGTGCTGGGATTATAGGCGTGAGCCACCTCGCTTGGCCTTGTTTTGTTTCTTATACTCATAAATAAAGTGGTATTGTAGAGGTGGGGATTAAATTCAAATATACAAGAAAAGGTCTATTTGGAAACAACGTAATTGTTTGATTATGTATTAGGTTTATAATTTGAACTGGTCTTATAAGAAATAAAATGGAAAGACTTTAGAAAACGTGTTGTAATCTGGATAATGTCCTCCTGAACAGTTATCGCCAACAGCAGTAAACATTGAGATGGGTCTGTAATTTGAGAAATGCTTGTATAACATGTTCTTTTGTGAAGTTAGAATCTGATTTATAATGATCCATTTCTAGAGGTCTAAAAGTCACTTGGAAAGAATAAACTGAAAGTAGGTATTGAAACTTTCTGAATGTTCTCTATAAATACAGTATATCACTTATTCCTAACACTAAATTTAAGATGATGTGATTGAATAAAGGCATTCATGTTAAATCAATGATTTTAATATGAATTAAACATGATTGGAATTTATTATACTTTAAGTTCTGGGATACATGCGCAGAATGTGCAGGTTTGTTACACAGGTATACATGTGCCATGGTGGTTTGCTGCACCCTTCAAGCCGTCATCAACATTAGGCATTTCTACTGGGTGTGCACATAGAAATGAAGAGCTTTGGCCAGGTGTGGTGGCTCATACCTGTAATCCCAGCACTTTAGGAGGCCAAGGAAGGTAGATGATCATTTGAGGTCAGGAGTTCGGGACCTCCCTGGCCAACATGGTGAAACCCCCTCTCTACTAAAAATGCAAAAAAAAAATTGGCCAGGCATGGTGGTGTTACCTGCTTTTAGGGAAGACATTATTTGGGTTTTGTTTGGTGTTTCAAGCTTTTTTTGGGGTTAGGTGTATCAAGAAGTGTAGACTTTTCTTTTTTTTTTTTTTTTTCTGAGGGAAAAAGAGAAAAAGAAGGGGAAAAAAAGAAAAAGAGGGAAAAAGGAATATTACTTCATTCCTAAAATGGGTTTCAATAATGGCCGATCAATATTTTGAGTGTTTAAAGTGGTTAATGCATATTTTATGTGTTTAAAATGGAGACCTCTATTGTGTTTATTTGTTCTGGCTCTGAGTTCAAGTCCTGGATATCGTTATCAATTTGTTGTCTCGTTGAATCTAAATCTCATTATGTGTCTTATGTATCTGGGTGTTAAGATCTCTTATTGTTGCATTAATCCTTTTACCCTTGCATCCTTGTAGCTTTGAAATCTATTTTATTAAGTGTGAGAATTGCAACTCCTGCTTTTTATTTATTTATTTTTGCTCTTCATTTGGTTGGTGAGTTTTTTTCCATCCCCTTGTTTTGAGTCTTTGTATATCTTTAGATATATCGTTAGATTTTGTGGATAATGTATATTTTGGTGTTTAAAATGGAGAGCTCTATTGAGTTTATTTGTTCTGGATCTTAGTTCCAGTCCCGGATATCGTTATCAATTTTCTGTCTCGTTGAATCTAAATCTCATTATGGGTCTTATGTATCTGGGTGTTAAGATCTCTTATTATTACATTAATCCTTTTACCCTTGTATCCTTGTAGCTTTGAAATCTATTTTGTCAAATGTGAAAATTGCAACTCCTGTTTTTTATTTATTTATTTTTGCTCTCCATTTGGTTGGTACTTTTTTTTTCCCAACCCTTTATTTTGAGTCTATGTATATCTTTGGATATACCGTTAGATTTTGTCTGTATCTTTTGATTGGGAGATTTGGTTGATTTAAATTTAGGGTTGCTGCCGTTTGATATTAACTGGCTATTTTGTCCTTTCGTTGATAAAAATTCTTCTTTATGTTAATGCTCTTTACTTTTTGGTGTATTTTTAGAAAGGGTCATACTGGTTGTTCCTTTCTGTGTATAATGGCTTCTTTTAGAAGTTCTTGTAAAGCAGGCCTGGTGGTAATAAAATCTCTGAGTACTTGCTTGTTCCTAAAAGATTTTATTTTTCCTTCAAATGTAAAGCCTAAATTGGCAGGATATGAAATTCTGGGCTGAAAGTTCTGTTGATTAAGTATATTGAATATTGGCCCCCACTCTCTTCTAGCTTGTAGGGTTTCCGTTGAGAGATCTGCTGTAAGCCTAATAGGCTTACCTTTATGGGTAACTTGATCTTTCTCTCTGGCTGCCCTTAATATTTTCTCTTTCGTTTCAATCTTGGTGAATCTAACGATTATGTGCCTTGGAGTTGGTCTTCTTGAGGAATATCTTTGTGGTGTTCTCTGTATTGCCTGGGGTTGAATAGAGTCCTGCTTTGCTAAATGAGGAAAATTTTCCTGGATAATGTCCTGGAGAGTATTTTCCAGCTTGAATTCATTTTCTCCGTCACATTCAGGTACACCAATCAAGTGTATATTAGGTCTTTTCACATAGTCCCATATTGCTTGGAGACTTTGCTCATTCCTTTTTATCCTTTTTTCTCTATTCTTGTCTTGTTGTTTTGTTTCATTAAGTTGATCTTCGACCTCTGATACCCTTTCTTCTGCTTGATCCATTCGGCTGTTTAAGCTTGTACATATTTCACTAAGTTCTCGTGTTGTATTTTTCAACTCCATAAGTTCATTTGTATTCCTCTCTATATTGTCTATTCTTTTCAACATTTCATCGAACCTTTTTTCCAAGTTCTTGGTTTCTTTACATTGGGTTAGAACAAGTTCCTTTAACTCCCAGAAGTTTCTTATCATCCACCTTTTAAAGCCTACTTCAGATAATGGAACACAGTCCTTTTCCATCAGGGCTTGTTCCGGTTACTGATGAGTCCTTTGCCATCAGGGCTTGTTCCGTTGCTGATGGGTTCTGATTTTGAGTATACTCGGCCTTCTTAGGCTGTTTTTTTCCCTTCATTATAGATGAACCGCCTTTCTAATTAGGTTTCTGAGTCGACGCCCGACTCATTGATTCCCAGTGCTGGGATCCGAGCAACCCACTGTGGCGGCCTAAATAGCAGCGATAAGACTGATGGTTCTCTTCTGCCCGGGAATCTCTGGTCTGGCTTCCCTCTTGAGTCCGCAACAAGCGGCTCTGACTTCCCGGAGCTCCAAACTCCGGTCGGTAGGGGAAGCAGTCCCATTGGCTCTGCATGAAGAGCTGCTGCACCAAGACGCCGGCGAAACCGCTGCGGTGGCCACAAGAGTCGCGCTGGCGACCCGTGGGGCTCCTCCACTGGGAATCGGCTGATCGGTGAGTGATGAAAATTCGTCTAAAAGTGTGGCGTTGTCTCGTTCTCTGGGCTTTCACTGGGAGCTACAATCCTGAGCTGTTAGTGGTCGGACATCTTCCTGTAAGTTTCTTCGACTTCTCTATACATAATATCCTTTTTCCCCACAATATGTTTTTGAAAAGTCTGTTAAAATAAAGATCATAGAAAGATCTCTTCCTTAACCTTTCCTCTACCAGAAATCTCTCTAGAGACCAGAAGTATCACATGGTCCTTTCTCCCTTCTTGATTTTGTAGGAGTCCAAAGCTAATCTCTCCCAAATCCGGATTGCATGCACCTGTGCCTTTGGGGCCCTTGTGCATTCCTTCTTCCTTCTCTTCTAACCTAAAAATGTGTTTTCTCTGTTGGCTCTTTCGCTTTAACACAGAAGTACCCTCACCCTTTTTGTTGAATCTTGGAATGAAAGGCTGTCTTTACCACGCGTTTTCCTTTAGCTGCCACTGCCCCCTCCTCCTCTCAGCCAGATCCAGTGAGAGAAGCCCTCGGTTGTGTCATTGTTTTCTCACCTCCAGTCCACTAATTTGCCCTGACACGCGGCTCGCTCACTCACACGCACGCAAGCCCAATCACTGAGTTGCCCCGACACGCTGCTTGCTCACTCACATGCGCGCAAGCCCAATCACGGAGTTGCCCCGACACGCGGCTCGCTCACACGCGCGCAAGCCCAGTCACCGAGTTGCCCCGACACGCGGCTTGCTCACTCACACGCGCGCAAGCCCAGTCACCGAGTTGCCCCGACACGCGGCTCGCTCACTCACACGGACGCAAGCCCAGTCACTGAGTTGCCCTGACACGCGGCTCGCTCACTCACAGGGACGCAAGCCCAGTCACTGAGTTGCCCCGACACGCGGCTCGCTCACTCACACGCACGCAAGCCCAGTCACTGAGTTGCCCCGACACGCTGCTTGCTCACTCACATGCGCGCAAGCCCAGTCACCGAGTTGCCCTGACACGCGGCTCGCTCACACGCGCGCAAGCCCAGTCACTGAGTTGCCCTGACACGCGGCTCGCTCACTCACACACGCGCAAGCCCAGTCACTGAGTTGCCCTGACACGCGGCTCGCTCACTCACGCGCGCAAGCCCGTCACCAAGTTGCCCCGACACGCGGCTCGCTCACTCACACGCGCGCAAGCCCAGTCACTGAGTTGCCCTGACACGCGGCTCGCTCACTCACACGCACGCAAACCCAGTCACTGAGTTGCCCTGACACGCGGCTCGCTCACACGGACGCAAGCCCAGTCACCGAGTTGCCCTGACACGCGGCTCGCTCACTCACACGCACGCAAACCCAGTCACTGAGTTGCCCTGACACGCGGCTCGCTCACTCACACGCACGCAAGCCCAGTCACTGAGTTGCCATAGCTGATTTGTAGCTGTCCTGCGCTCCTGGCAACACTTGACTCTGTGCATTGAGATTATACATACTGAGTATCTATTGACCAGGCCCTGTGCTAGGTGCTGCTGTTACAGAAATGAAAAGCAGACATCTTCTCCTTTCTAGTGACTCACGGGAGCAGCTGTTCCTGATTCATACGCAGGTCCCTTGACTCCTACTGCTCAATTCTGTAAGCTCGACTTTAATGCCGTGTAAATCGCCCTATTCCCCAGGTCTTTTCTCTGCACTCCTCTTTACTATACACAACTTCTCAAGGCAATCACTCCCACGCCCATGGCTTCCATTGCCTTCTCTGTTCTGAGGACAATAGAATTCTAAATGTTTTGCTGCGTGTATTAACTTTATTTTATACCAGATCCCTCACTTGCTATAATCATAGGAAGAAATAGGTGAGGAGGAAAAGTTTTCTACTCTCAGTGTCACATTAAAATGGAATTCTCTGGTCAAAAGTTGAATATAAATCTCTGTAGGCTGCATCCATTTCTGGCATCCCAACATATGTTTTCAAAACCACACAGATACTAAATCAAACTATTAAGAGTACCTGGGGAAATTTAAAAGGAGAAGATGTCTGCTTTTCATTTCTGTAATCAGAG